AATGGAAAACTGCTAGCGCCCTATTTCGAGTTACCTATACTGCCTTGTTCGCTGCGAATGATATGGTGTGTCAGGGGGGAGGGTGAGTTTGACGCCAGATTGTTTCTTTTCTTTTCTTCCTTCGGCAAGCGACAAGGCTGTTTTATACCGCTGGTCGCTTCCCACAGCTGTTATCCTTCATCAACTGGTGGGAAACGAAGCTGTGCGCCCGCCCCCAGAAGCTAACCCATCCGCCACGCGCTCCTTCTTCGCAGCGCGAGCACGACTGTACAAGGAAACTATTATAAAAGACTTTTTTTAGCTACACTGGATACTAGTGTACTTCTTTTAGGTTTCATCAATATTAGACGCAGATATCTTACCGCGGGAACTTCGACGGGTACGACTATGCAAATTCTACAATAACAAGCCGCTGGGCTTTTACATCAGAGATGGTGGGTCTAAAAAGCTTATTCTTTTGTGAGGCAGCGTTCAGACTTTGCGTCGACGCGCTGTAACGCGCGTTATCACCGCAAGGGCGCCTCAACTCATTGACGCGAACGCAACCACAGGACAGGAATTAAACGGCGCTTGCAGCTTGCGTTTTGAGAGTGTATAGGACAAACAGGGTTGACGCTGCCTTAAATACAAAATGGTATCCTCCGACTCCTATAAACTCTCTACAAACAGTAGGGACCAGTGCCGCGATCAAAACGCAAGACTTGATGGGCCTCCTATTCCCCCCGTTCTTGAAAACGCACAACGCATGCATACGGCGCCGATCAATTCCCGTTTGCGGCTGCATTCGCGTCTATAATATTGGAGCGTTGTTGCAATCGCAGCGCGTCGCTGCACGCTACAGCGCGTGTCAACCGCGAATCTGAACCCTGCTAACTGGTGAGGCTTCTTTTCCTAATGACTCTGGCTCTGAAAGATTAGAATGCTTATTATATTTTGCCAATAGTTTCCGTCTTGTTTCTTTTCTAACGATTTCTATTTTCCTACGCTTTACTTTGGAGCAACGTTTTCTGCCATTGGTAATTTCCCACCTAAACCATTCACTATTGGTAGGAAAAGCAGCCGTGGGTGGGCTCATGACACCGCCCCGCCGGATCGCGACGATACCAACTATAAGCAATTTTACGCCTGAATTTGGCGAGGTTCGAACACCTTCTCTCGGATAGGTGTGGATTTTCGGGGTAAAAGCCACATCTGTTCACATTACCCTATAGTTTTTTTTGCGTCAAAAGCAACATGAAGTGTTAGCTGGCTTTATAATCTGATTTGTGAGAACTGCGTCAAAACGGACAAAAATACCGATGTTATGTTTGGTAGGAGCATTTTGCACATTCGCTTTACCCTGTTAAATTGCATGTCACGCCTTGGTAAGGCCTGTAGACTCCTGCTCAAGTGTAACGATGCTCACAGCTCTGCACAGCTTTACAGGAAATCACAAGTCTCTACAAGACATCGCCAGTGATCACTGGAACCAGCGAATTGCCCCCATCAAGCCGAACTGCGCTAAAGAATGTTCTCACGAGACACAGCTCGAAAGGGCGAGTTGTACCACTGGAGGTAGGCCACTCTTACAGTCTCCTAACACTTTCCCACGAAAAACTAGTCATAAAAACTAGCGAGATATGTTTGCGAAATTTCAAACAACCTACCCGTCGGAAGTCTTGCGGAGCAGAAATGAAGACTTTTCGTTTCTTTCTAATCAAGGCCTCAGGTGTAACACCATAACCGTATTGTTCCTCCAGTGACTCGCCCTTATGTTGTACAACAATCCGAAGCACCCGCTCTCGCGTCTCCAGGGCTTTTCTCAAATTCTGAAAATGAACAACGACGATTTCGAATTTTTGAATCGACATTTTTTGAAAAGATCTCACATCATTATTGGATATGGGCAACGTGCTACCGTCAGGTGATAAGTACGTTATATGGGTGGTCGATCTTTGCTCTTTCGTTAACTTGTGGAGATCCTTAAAAGGTATAGTACACTAAATTGTTGCATCTGCCATCGGAAGATCGCGCCAACCATTGGCTTGACCCCAGGATATACTCAATAATTTCAGGGAGCAGTTCGGCTAGAGAAGCGATATTCAACGCATTCGCTCCTTCCCGCTGTCGTGTTCATTGCTTTACAAGAGTGTCGTTTCATGGCTTAGCAGGGTTTCATAAACCTTCACCCTGATGGCTCAAAACGACAATGGGAAGAAGCGAAATTGCAAGATGTCCCTCCCCTAGTCGAGATGTGCCTACATTCACTTACAATTACACTTACATGTATCAAAGTAGTGAATTCCTCATACGAAGGCGTCGGTATGCCCGCTCCAACGGAGAGCGAAAACCGTCGGAATTCAGATCCAAATTGTGATTTTATGGCCAGCTTTACC